TCTGGATATTAATTCAACTTGTGATTATATTTTCATTTTTGTTGTCTCTTCTTCATTCCTCTATATATTTCCAACATTCCTAAGCACGAAGGTGGGCTTGGATTTAGAGATATCAGTTGCTGGAACAAAGCGTTGCTCGCCAAAACTCTTTGGAACATCCATAGTAAAAAGAATACTCTTTGGGTGAAGTGGCTGAATCAAATTTTTCTTCATGGAAAGGATATTTGGGACTATATGGTAAGAAAAGACAGACTCCCCGCTACTTATAAGGGTGCTGGGAATTTGGGATCAAATTAAACAGCCTGAACAAACCATTAAGGCCTACTAATGGTTATCATGATTGGGAGTATCATAATTCATAAATCACACATTTTTTTTAATCATGAGCTTATCAATCATGAGGCTTCGCAAACTATTGATAGGCATGCTACTGGCTGTGTAACCTTTGTTTTAAACTAGACCAGATCAATCGGTCTAACAGAAAATCGGGAACCGATTTGGTTCTCACCTAAAAGAAGGAAAATAGAAAAACTAGCTATTTGCAATCGGAACCCGGCTCATATGATCTCAGTTTTCACGAGTTGGCCTATGTTTTTTATTTTATATCTCACAAATGTATAGATCATAACAAGTAATAAAGTCAACCTAACGGTTCGAATTATCATTTATAATAAGATTACTATCTAACCAGTAATTTAATTATGCCTAACTTCAAATCGACTGAAAATAAATAAATGTGCTTACTACATTTTTATAAAAAAAAATTTAAAATATACTAACACATACAAATAAAATTACATGTACCCGATCGATTAACAATTTTTTATATAATTATCAATATATTATATAACTAATTATGCGTACCCAATTGAATTCTTCTAATTTAATTGATTTAACACTCTCGAGTTCAAACCAATTACACGCAATAAGATAACACATCATATCTCTATGTGAATCCAAATAAGCCTCAATCAAAAGCATTCAATCATCAAAGAATTAATGTGATGATTGTAACAACCATAGAAGCGTTCTCTACACTTTTATTTAAATTTTACAGATTTTTCCCAGGTGATCAAACAAATCACTCGCATTTTAGTATAATTATCGCTCACAAATCAATGAATTAGTTGTCAATTAATTCGAAGTATTAAGAATAAAAGTAAAAACAATTCACAAAATTAATTGAAAAATTAAAATTAAGTTTCAAAACAAGGTTGCAGTTGTTCAATTTAACTAATCAATTAATTGAACACATGGGTGAAGAATAAAACAAGAATGAATTAAAGTATATCACTAGTTGTTAAGGAAAATGGGGGAAAAGATGAAGATTTTGCGCCAAAAATCCTCCTCTTCGTAAAAAACTTGAAAATTTAGGATTTTTCTCTACTTGTGGGCACTTTTTTCTTGTAATTCATGTGATTTTTATGTCCCAAGATGCTCCTTTGGCTTGTATAAATTAATGTGTACCATAAATTCCAGCATGCCCCCTTCAATTGTTGGACTAAAGGATGTATCTATAAAAACAAGGACTTCGACTGTACAACATATTTTGCGAATTTAAATTCATTTTCATTATCTTTGTCCTCAGGGAGTCATCAGTGTTGCAAATAGCTCATAATTACTTCCATCCAATGAGGGCTCTCTCTTACCGACAAGCTTTCTTCCGAATATGCGAACATGAAGAGACTCGCTAAGTGTTCGACATAGACCACTGCAAGTATCTCAAAATCTTTGGAGCTAGGAATATGAAAAATAGCTTATTTATGGCAGTTGCTTGTGATTTTGAAAATTATGTATAGCATGTGCAAAAGGATTAAGATAGACGTACATTCTAGCTTATACCTTAGATGACAGGAAATCGATATCTATGCAATGATGTAATTGGATGAATTGAAAATCGAGAGTATAAATGTTGCCATGTGGAAAAGTGTAAAAGGAAAGTGTAAGAGAAAATGTATGTATAACGTGGTTGATCAAGAGAAGTCACATTCACACAAATACGCATGCCAATTGTCACCTCTTTCTCTCGTGTCTAATCCTTCTCTTTTTCTTACCACATACATACAATTATCTCACATATACAGACAGAGTCGGTCCTGTTGCCAGGCAAATGAGGCCTGTGCCTCAGACCCAAAACCATAAGGGGTCTATTTTGGCCCAAAAATTTTTTTTTCTTTAATATTAATAGAAGGAAAAGTAAAATAGTTTTTTCATTAATTGTGAGATGATTGAGATATTTGTTTGTTGCTTTAACATTAAGTTTTAAGTTGGCAATATATTGCATAATACACTGTTGAATTTTGCCTTTACGTTGATTTTGAGGCCTAATTTTTGGACTTCGCCTTGGGCCCCGACAATCGCAGGACCGACCCTGTATATAGATATATACATACACATATATAAGTTGAAGGAAGAAATATGAGAATTTCTTTATGTAATCCGATATTAGGAGGCTAAATCATGACATGGAAGTTCATTCATCTAATAAAGAATTTTCCATATCTAGAGAGTTGGTAACTGGGGATTAAGCGAGAAATAGTAATGTGGCTTTACTTTTAGATTTTTTGGCTTAAATAGTATGATAAACCTATGCTTTTTTCCAACGATTTGTATTAACCTGAAGTAATAAAGTGTCGTTTTATAACACGTTGGCACTAAATGGCACTTTGTACAGTTTAACGTTATTGCTTTTAAAAGAGTGACCATTAATATAAAAGTTAGAAGCTCGAGTGATTCAATTATCATTGACATAATTATTCAAAAATTCTTGGAGTATTTGTTAACAAAATTGTCTGCCAGCAAGTAATCCATATATTGTCTACCATGGAAATCTTCACATAATCTATGTTAACAGCATTTTGTAGCAAAACCTATCTATCCAGTTAGCATTTTTTTTCGTCATCTGTTCAAATGTGCATCACGCTGTCTTGAGAAGAATCCGATATGTTCGTCTTCATAATTTTTATTTCTTAAACAGATGAGGTAAATATATCAAAGGGCTATTGCATTCCTTTAAGCAAAGGAAGTTATATTTATTGATTTCTCTTGCTTTAGGTCTTTCCTTGTGAGTGAATTGGAGCGACACCATCTTCATCATGATTAAAGACAAGTGCATCAGATTAACAAAAGCTATGGTAAATTTGTTTAGCCTAGATAAACTTAAATAAATAGATTAACGAAAGCTTAAGTTGTGCAAGTATTTAATGAATTTCTTAGCAGTATAATTCAATAAAGTTGTTATCAGTATAAGAATGTCACAATATGCACCAAGTTTTCCTGCTTGTTGATTCTGCAGTTGCAGGTGAACGTTCATATAAGCATTGACATATGCTAAATTTTCATACTTGGATTTATCAATTAAGAGGATATGGCAAGACTAAGCCCACATTTGATTCAGCTAAAAATGTTGATTGAAAATTCTAAATCAAAGTCAACAATTAATTTTAACCACACATTTCATGAGATCTACTAGGACTGCACAAAAAAATTGTGAAACCGCAAACCTAATCGAAACCGTTGAATTAAAACCGTTGGTTTGAGTCAATGTGGACCCGTGATTTTGTTTCTCTTAAACCGAACCAAATCATTTCAAAATGATTTGGTTTAGATTTTGACTTTCAAAAACCGCACAAAATCGAACCGAACTGTTTTAAAATTTTTTAATTAAAACATTAATTTTATTAACTTAAAAATTTTACAATTTTCACTTTAAAAAAAAATCAATTTAGCAATACAAATTACAACCATCTATTCAAATAATCATATAAAGTAAATTAGTTTCATCATTATTCGCGTATAGTTTAACAAGTTCACAACACATGTTATCACATGATATTTAAACTAAATTAAAATTATTCCAAAATTATATTAAACAAAACTACGTCAGCAAATTACTTCTAAAGTTTCAAAAGTTCTAACATAAACTCTCATTTTCCTAACATATGACGCTTGTCTGCCACTACTAAACGAATCACCAGTCATCTTTGTCTGTTAATATGCTAATTTCTACCTAAATCGCATCTTTCTCTCCTTTTTCGGTAAGTCTTAGATTCTCATTCAAACTATTTTTTCGTTGTTCTTTCTTTCATTTGTTATTTTTGATCTTATTATATACTTGTGAATTGTGGTTTGGATAGAAAAATAACTGTTTATGTGCCTAGATGATTAATGAACTTGTTTGTAGTTTGGAAAGAACAAAGGACGGATCGTGTTGATTGTGTGAAAATATTAAAATTTCTTAACTAGTACCACTACCTTCTACTTTCATAAAGTAGTTAGAGAATAAAATTCGTCAATTCTCAATAAACCCAAACTCTATCAATTTTTGTACATCTAAATATAAATCATTCAATTTTTATTTAACATCTCATAGAAAAGACGAAAAGGGTTTTAACCAAATTATAATAACAGAATGTAACTCTATCCTTACTAACCATTATATGATAATATGAATGTCAAACAAAAAAAAAAGTAAATAAAAATGAAGAAAAATATATTTGTTCTATTGACATCTTTTAACAACCAACTTTGAAGATAATTTATTCATGAATTTCTTGATAAATATAGATGTAATTTAATATTTAACATTTTTAGTTCTCGTTTAAACTTATACGTTAACTTATGTTAAACATATTACTATAATATCGATAAATAAACTGCGAATTAAAACGGCATCAAACCGCAATTTATGGTTTGGTTTGAAAAATAAAATGGCTTGGTCAAGCTTGAAAAATTTTCAAATCACATAAAATAGCTTGAATTGAAAATATAGCACAAACCACCCAAATCGAACCGCATTCACCCCTAAGATCCACAACTTTTAAATCATAGATTTTATCAACTTTTATCAAAATCAACTATATATCTGATTTTTATCTGAACCAAACATGAGCTTAATCGTGAAATTAGAACTATTTGGTTACTAGCAGTAAACCATCAAGAACAACAATAATCGTAATCATAGATTACTTTGGGGGGAAAAAAAAGATCAAATCAGAGGATTGAATCGATGGAATCCTTTCGCAATGTAGATAAAATTATAGCGAAATAAGTTCGGCACAGAGCCACAGACATTAGCCAACTGAGAAACGGAAAGAACAAATGGCAAAGTGGTGAATATCAGCTTCTAGAGTCGGAGTTCAGAAAACAACTAGACAATAAAGACGAATACTGGCTACTAGCAGCATTTTTAATTTAAAAAAAAAAAAAGAAAAAAAAAAGGAAAAAAAGAAGCAACACTGCCAATGGGAAAACACCCAAATGCTAAAAGCACAAAATTTTACTACTCGTTATCCGGCTTGGGTGCGTCCTTGACCTCCTCGGAACCATCGTCCTATATCAGAACAATAAGCAGTAACCTACGTTAAACTCGTGCTCAAAATAGCCTGGGAAGCACTAACGGAAAGGAAGAACGAAAAACTCTACCTGCATATCTGAAGTCCATAAAGTGAGGTTGTCACGGAGAAGCTGCATGATCAGCGTGCTATCCTTGTATGACTCCTCTCCAAGTGTGTCCAACTCTGCAATTGCTTCATCAAAAGCCTAACCATGGTATGAGAAGTGAAAGTCAGACCAGAAAATAACAAGAGAGAATCTAATCTTTCATTTGTTCATGTGGGGATAATAATTCTTTTGTGGCTAAGAAAAAAGCTGAGAGATTTGAGATAAAAGCCTGATTATCTTGCGAACCTGTTTGGCAAGATTACAAGCGCGGTCTGGAGAATTCAAAATCTCATAGTAAAAGACTGAGAAATTGAGTGCTAGCCCAAGCCGGATTGGATGTGTTGGAGCAAGCTCAGCACTTGCAATGTCCTACAAACACCAGAAACGCTCCGCAAATAAGTTTACAATTTCATCTTATAAAATTCTCAATTTGCATCAAAGGGCTTGAAATTACAACTTTCACAATTTGATCTACTACATTTATCAGATAAGAAGAAATAATAGAATCCAAGTTTTCATCATCAGAGAGAAGTATTTCAAAGCAAACTATATATTCATATAACCTTCAACACAGAATATCTGACTAAAATGAAACTTCATGCTGCATTTTCACAAAATTGCTAATCATTGAGAAGAAAGTACATCCAGGATGTAAAAGTAAGCAAAAATTCAACGCAAATAACATATTTCCCATTAAATCGTATGCATCTAGTTTCAAATAAAACCAACCCAATCAAGCGAATTTCACTACTTCATCTAGAAACGCCACCAACAGTTTTCCACAAATTTAACAAAAATGACAAATAAAGCCCCAGTTTGTCATCCATTTTCTACCATTCTTTTCCATTATTTTTTGTTCACACATTCTTCATTAAAATAATATTACTCGTAAATCAAAATTCTTTCTTTTTTAATCACAAATTTCAACATCAATAACTATTCCATAATCCATTCTTCCCAAATAATGGGTGACAAACACACCCAAAATAAGGATTGCTACTTAAATTCGTTGGCCACAGGAAGAATTTCAAAATTAAGAACCCGTTGTTAATCTTAAATATAATTTAAATAAATCTCATCTAATAAATTATATATAGTAAATCCTAAATTCTAAAAAATGGATCTAAGGACTTCTGGAACATTATTAGGTAGATCACAAACAAGCAAAATATAACAAATCATATAACGACTGCAAAATATAAAAAGAATAAGGAAAACTCCAAAAACCTAACCTGGGCTGATTTGTAAGCTGAGAGAGTGTTTTCGGCGGCTTCTTTCCGCTCGGCTCCAGTCTTAAACTCCGCCAAGTAGCGGTGATAATCACCCTTCATCTTCAAGTAGAAGACTTTCGAATCACCACTGGAGGCGGATCCGATGAGTTTTGAGTCGAGAAGTTTCAAAATCCCATCGCAGATGCTGGAGAGCTCTGATTCAATCTTAGATCTGTAACCTTTGATGGTTGAAACGTGGCTTTCGTTGCCGCGGCTCTCCTCCTTTTGTTCAATCGACGATATGATCCTCCAGGAGGCTCGGCGAGCGCCAATAACGTTCTTGTAGGCCACAGAGAGGAGGTTACGCTCCTCAACCGTCAATTCCTCACCGCCTTCCGATGCAGTGACGACTTTCTCCATGAACTCCACCATCTCTTCGTAACGCTCGGCCTGCTCGGCCAGCTTCGCCATGTATACGCTCTCCTCGCGTGGGGATGCCATTGAGAAAGGGATTTCTACAGAGAGAATTTTTTATTTTTATTTTTTCTAGAGAGAGGGAGAGAGTGAGAGTGGGGAGAAACACGAAGGGCAATTTTTGGATTCGATTTGGGTACAATTTTTTTTTCCTTTTTTTTTTTTTTTTTTTTTTTTTTTTTTTTTTTTTTTTTTTTTTGGGGGAAAAATGTATTGGATTTTTAGGTGTTTTAGAATTTTGGATCTGAATTTTGTACGAATATTGTTACATTTTAGAGTTGTCATGAGGGCCATGTTACTAGGCCTTGTCCCTATTATATACTCTACATTCTACAAAAAATTAAAGACCCTGACTGATGGAAATTAAAATTAAATTTTTAGTAAATTTTGATAAAAATAATGAAATTTGAAATTAAAAAGTTACGAAACCCACGAAATATGTTGATTTTGATTTGTGTTAAAATTTGAATTTTAATCACTACCCAATAGAATCAAAATTATATTGGCTGAACTTGAATGTTATACTATGTTGATTGCTTTTTATTTTTTGAGGAAAAAAATTATAAAAAACAGAAGTCTGATAGTATGAGAACAAAATTATAAATCATTTATAAGTAATTACATTTTATTTTGAACCATAAATTTTGATATATTTTCAAGGGAATATGTTACTTGTACATAATGTTGTGTTCATACTGGTGTCTAACCCTCCTCACATTCACTTTGAAGTGGGTCTCCTTTATACAAAGAGGTGGACACCGATATGAACACCCTAATATGTGTAATACTACCCATTTTCAAGTACTATCCACGTATCAATGCTTATTTATTTCTATCTCTTTGTAGATTAAATTGTTAACAAACGGAATCTAATTTGCATTTTGGTTCAAAATGTTTAAAAAATGGGAATTGGCACAAATGGTCCCTTAACGTATGGGCTCTTGTGGCAAATAGTCCCTAATGTTTCATTCTTCGCACTGACCCCCTCAACGTATTGACTTTTGTGAAAAAGCAATTTTGAATTGTTATCATCCATTCTTGCCGTTCAACATCTATTTTAATACGAAGACACTTGTAACATTTACGCATTTATACACTTAAATGATGATTTGCACATAATAATAATAATAAGAATAATAATTTACATATTAGGTTGAACTACCCTCCCACTTACAGTAGATAGGAGATAAATTTTTCACCCATCGATGTGGCAACATGTGACATTGACCGCTGGATTTTAAATTTATTTCCTATCATGGGCCACATAACTCTTGCCCACTGTAGGCAGAAGATCCATTATATTAGTTTGAATTGTATCGTCTTTTGTAATGTTACTAACATTTGTTCACAAATAAATTCATCATTGTTAATGAAAAATCGCAACCAAAAAATGTCATTTAAGTTTAATATGATGTTCCTTTTTCTATGTTTTCTATCTTGAACTATTGGAATTACCTTTTTATTTATTGATTTTTATTTTTTATTTTAGCTTTTCTCAAATATACAGTTTTGCAACAGTACTTTTATTAATATTGGAGAATCGAAAATGAATTTTGACAACTTGAGACGGGTGACATGAACATTCAATCACAAGGTGGAATCAATGTGTCTCATATTTTACTTTAAACAATGATGTTGTTGATAGATTTAGGAATTGGTCTCGATTTTCAACAGTAGTATCAAATTGTATGATCGTACTGAGTGTTGGAGTAGATAAAATAATAATTCGTTGACTTGTGACAAGTACAAGTCAAGAATACGTTGACTCAGTTTGAATTTCGCAAAGATTTGGTATGAAAACAAACTCCATGAAGTATGGAAAATGTGGTCATGTCATAAAAAATTGTTCAAAATGAAAACCAACTCGGCTAATTGCTCGAATTTAGAAGGACAATGTAGCTATGATAATAAGAGACAATATTTCGCTTGAGTAATATATGTAGTTGATGTTTTATGAACTCCCAGGGAAATCAAAGAGGGGTTGAACAATAATTTTTCAGCAAGTTTGTTAGAACACCATAGGTTTTTAGCAAATTTGTTAGAAATGGAGTGATGTAAGTTTTGAAATTTGTTAATTCCAAGTATTGACATATATATGTGTGCGTGTGTGTGTGTGTTGCCGCATGAAATAAGAATCATTTTTTGGACAACGATGCTCTTACTAATATTTGATGGTTCCCAATTTGTCCCATTAATATTCATTAATGTACTCTCAATTATATACGTACGTATAGAAACATATTTTTACTCATTTGCATGTCTATTCGTTCAAATACATACTTCATCCAACCCACTAATATAGATTTACTTTCTTTCTTTGTTTTTCCAAATTATAAGTAACTTTTCTTATTGGAAGTATAGTTAATTTCTTAATTTTCTAATATGCTCATACATAATATTTGTTATCAACAAATATAAACTACTTCTATTTATACCTTATTTATTGTAGGAATATATTAGAAAAATTGTAAGTAAAATTTATATTTTTAACTATATTAATTACATTTTCTTAATCTATATGAAAATGAAACAATTTTTTTTTTCTGAGACAGATAAAGTATTTAAATTATATTATACACATCACAATTATACTATTCACATTTCACCGACCATACTACTTGTAGGTCATTCAGATTCCACACGATGACACTCATGCCTTTTGCATCGTATTATTACATTATGTCTCTTAATATATTAAGCACATAAAATTTTAAATGCACGTATAGTGAATAATTTTATAGTATTTGTGGGTCTACTGAATTAATGTGTGTGAAAATAAAATTTGATCGATTTATAAATGATTTCATCTTTAAATTTGTCAAAAGGGTGCTAAAAAATCTAGTATTGCCTTCCTAATAATCAAAAATAGAATCAATAGAATTCAAACTATGTCCTGAACTAGGAATGAATTACTTATAATAACAAATATATAAACACTAATTCGTAATTATTAATCTTAAAAAATTGAAATACGAGTTCAACCATCCTCGCCATCAAACTTAGAGGGTAGCTTAACCTCTTTTATCCTGAATTTTCTCAATTGTGCCTCAAAGCATTGTGCATTAGTACTTGCCATCAACGTCCAATTCTAATTGAACATCTATAACACGATGATTTGTCCAATATTCATGTCAAAATACTTACACATCGAAAGGTACTTTGACTCCATATCCACCTCGACTTTATCCTCAAGTAATATTTATATCGTTTTTAATATATCTTTGTAATTATCTTAAACAAAGTAAATCCTATCCGAATATGAATCTATGTGAACACCAAGATGAATGAAAACTCGTAGTGTGAGTTGTGTCTTGTATAATTTTTATTCGTAGTTGAGTTAGCTGATCATGTTAAGCTTTAGAATCTCATGCAAAAAAAATTATAAATTTTCTGTCATTTATCGAAAATCGTCAATTTCATCCTCTTTTTTACCCTCATTTCTTAAAATTTATTTTTTTCAAATTCATTTCCAACCACACTTTTTATGGGATATGCAACTTTTATCAACTTTTCAAAAATATATTCCATTAATTTTTATCAAAAATCTATTAAAAATTTTATTCTTTTAAATTATGTTAGGAGCTAAATTTGGACTAATGATAGCGTCAAGTCGTTTACCACTCATACTTTGGCGATGATTGTGCTATAATGATTAGACAAAGGGATTCGAAGTTTGCTAAATTTCTTTCAATATTTTATTCTGTTTTTTGTAAGAATTTTTTGTGATTTCTTATTTAAGAGATTTTGAAACTCTAGTAAAATTAAGGAATAGGTTGTATATAAAAGAAGAATTGTGTCGACGGTTTAATTTGATTTAATTAAAAATTGATTATTTATTATTGTGAGTAGAAATGTCAAAGTATTTTATCCCAAACTGAGCAGAGATTTCTTGAGTAGGCATGAAATCGTGATAATTTAAAAATAATAATAATAAGTAAATGAAGAATTGGAACAATAAATGTGAATATTTTAATTTTGCTCGGTCACTCGAAAATCTCCTATGGATCAAATAAGGGAAGGATCGTCACGATCCCATCTCATTCTATCTCGTTTCATTATTATCCCTAAATATATTCATTGTGAGCTAAAAAATCTTTGTACCTAATATTATCTTACATAAATCTTTGATGGGGCAGAAGAAGGAAAGAATGTCATGTTCCCTTCTTATCTCGTCCCATAACTATTTCTAAATATGCGCAACATGATCTAAAAGCCTATGTACCACATTACCATCTGTGAATGGAGTTGGATCGTCAAGGTCCCATCTCGTTCATTCTATTGTTGTTCTTAAAAATTTATTTTTATTCAAATTTATTTCAATCATACATTTTTTTAATAATATTTTTCTTACTTTTAATCATATGTCCTAAAAAAATTACCATTACTAAAGTTTGTACAAAAATAGTGGGCTCAAACCTTTAACATTACTGGTCAGGGAGAATGGTTTGTCAAAATAGTGGGACACACGAGAACAAGTTGCAATGAAACGTGAAAGGACAAAATTTCTCCTCGGCCATTCCAACAAATTGGACATCCACTTCTTGACGCTAACGTCATTTTATTGTTAATCCTGTGTCGTACAAACAAACGAATAATTTGGAAGTTAGCCCTTGTTTGGATTTCATTAAATTAAAACATTTAAAAAAAAAAAAATTGTTTTCAATCTCATATTTTTATATTATACGTAAACCTAAATATTTTTCTTATTTTTTAACTGCATATTCTAAAAAAAAATTATTATTTCAAAATACATTTTTCTAAAAATCTCAATAAAATGAAGCCCAAACAAGAAAATATTTTGGGATCCACGACATCGACTTGCACATCATGCTTGTCTCCCTTACTATCTTCTATGGGTTGTCCACGTCATGTTCTCCCTCTTTGTTTCGTTTTTCTTTCTTTTTTTTCCAAAAAAGGGCAGGAATAAACCTAATTCCCAATAGGGGACAATGGACGCCTTGGTCTGAGACACATGAGTTCGATTCTTATTCATAATTAAGCTCGATCTGATCATTTGGCTTGTGGGCCTCACGTCCATATTTAGAAATAGTTATGGGCCTCAACATGAGCCGTGTGTGAAAAAAATAGTGTCGAACTCTATCCATATCTCATTTCAAAAAG